ATAGGGACTTAACTCTTGCTTGCTGCTGTTTTCCCATTACCTGGAGTAAGGTCTGGCACACAGTAGGTGCTGTGACTCAAGGCACACACTGTGTTCTATGTACCCTTATGATGGACACTACCGCAGAATGGGTAACTTTTACGAGGTTTCAGATGTTTAATTTCCAACTCCACTGCAAATTTCAGAGGCCTAAAAGGGAGGGATGTGTGGATTTTAAATAACTTAGTAATTTTGAATATATATTCTATTCTATTAATCCCTACACCACTTATGGCTCAACCGGAGCTCAGCCTCTGTAGTATGTGATTTACTGTGCTTTCAACTTGGATCCTGCCAACAAGTGCCCGAAGCACAGATGATTCAGGGTAGATGGGGCTGACGTTACAGTTGTGTGGCTAATGTATAAAGTAAATGTGTCTCCTCCATTCGCTTCTAAATTTCACCCCGTTACACCTCAGCTTGTCCCGCAATCTGGACTCCCGTCTGGACCACTGGTATTTGCCCTGGTCCGCTAATTATGCAGACTGATCATGGAGGCAGAGCAACCTGTTCCTCACATGGATGGAAGACTACCTGGCCAAATAAAATGGCTTAGTTATATAAAGATGTTGACCCTTCTCCAGTAAATATGTACAGATGACCCTTGAACAGTGCAAGGGTTGGGGCTCGACCTTCAGCATGGTCAAAAATCCACATGTAAGGGCTTCCCTTGTGGCACAGTGGTTAAGAATCTGCCTGCCAATGCAGGGGACACGGGTTCGAGCCCTGGTCCGGGAAGATCCCACATGCCGCAGAGCGGCTGGGCCCGTGAGCCATGGCTGCTGAGGCTGCGCGTCCGGAGCCTGTGCTCCGCAACGGAAGAGGCCACAACAGTGAGAGGCCCAAGTACCGCAAAAAAAAAAAAAAAAAAATCCACATGTAACTTACAGTCGGCCCTCTGTATCTGAGACTCCCCTGCATCCGTGGGTCCCCATCTGTGCTTTCAACCAACCATAGATGGTGTAGCACTGTAGTGTCTACTACTGACAACCCAGGCGTAAGTGGACTCGTGCCCTTCAAACCTGTGTTGCTTAGGGGTCAACTGTAATTCTCATGCAGTTTCAAATGAACAAAGATCACATTTTTTTGAAACTGGCTAAAATGATTTTAAATTTCACACGGAAAAATCATTGTCAAAGAAATAGCTGAAGATTTTTTAAAAAGAGTAAACAGAGAAGACTACCTCTCCTAGAAATAGAACTTTAAATTGTATGTAGAATAGGCAGGTCAGTGGTGAAGAATATATAGCTTAGTAAATATCAGTAACATTAAATATTTTAGTCTCACTTCCTATCACATATCAGTATAAACAATGAATAGATGAAGAGATCAAATGTGGAAAATCAATCATAAATAACTAGAAGAAAATAAAAGTGAAGGTTGATCAAATTTCTGGGAGGGGAACAACTTTATAAATGTCAAAGCAACGTGAGAAATCACAAAAAGAATTGATAAGCTTGATGACATAAAATTTAGAACTTCTATATTTCATAAAGCAATTAAGCAGCATTGAAACCGTACAGCAAATTGGAAGTAATATTAACAAAAATTATGACAAAAGATTAATATTCTTACTGCATAAAGAACTCATGCAAATTGATAACAATTCTTCGGACCGTGTCTTCAGACAGTGCTCTGAAGAGGAAACACAAATCACCAACATATATTTCGAAACCATGATTAGATCCAGTGACAAAACGTTAACTTAAAACAAAATGCCACGGTCATCTGACAATTGGCCAAAAAAAAAAAGATTTTAAATGGCACTATCTAATTGGGACAAGAGGGAAATGAGACCGATGCCCTTGTACACTTGGGAATCAACAATTTGGCAGTACAATCAAAACATGGATACACCTTAATCCAGTACGGCCACCTCTGGCAATCTGTCATGTCAGCAGCCTGAAGAGCTGATTGTACTTGCCCTGCCTGTCACCCCCTCATTCTAGATTTCATTTTTTGCCTGATAGCTGCCTCCCCTGCTGGGCTATAAGCTTGATGCAAAGGGATGTCTGTTTTCTTCACAGCTGGACTTGGCATAGAATAGGAACCTAGTGTTAGTTCAGAGTGAAATTTAGGCACAACAAAAAAGGGAAGAGCTTGATTGTCTAACAATGAGAATGGTTAAGTAAATACATTTCCAAACACACATACAAGAGAAAGAGTTAAAATGATGCATATAAAACTTTCTAATAGAACGGCGAACTGTTCACAGTCTGAAATTAAGGGGGAAAAAAGAATACAAAATTGATATACAGTATGCTTTCAACATGTAAACACAGAAAAGAAAAACAACTAAATCTATCATTTATTTTAAGATATACCATTATTATACCATTATTTTTACATGCCACTAAGAATAAAAAATGCCCATGATGGGGAGTCTAATATGATACCCCCTACACAACTTTGCCAAGTAAACCTCCCACGCAGAGAGGGCCAGGCAAGGAAGACTTCTTGTCTCAACTATGTCATTGGGTGCAGAGAAGAAAAAAATCTCACCTAGGAATTAAAAGGCAGGGCTCGCACTAGCTTGTATTTTGAATTCACACTACCAGCGTGGTCCAAAGAACCTCCAGCAGAGAATTTAACTCAGAGGAGTCTCTGGTTGGTGGTACCTCCAGATGGCTGACAAAAGCAAACACAAATCTCCCTTGTGAGACCCGGACCTCAGTGGGGCCGGCAGCAGTTATAAGTCGCCATAGCAATCCTAACAAGTGAGAAATTTTGCGTCCTAGAACTGATGAGATAGGATAAGCAAAATCTTCGCAGGGGCCAATTCAGCGGTGAGATGATAGATCAAAAGTACTTTTATATAATGTATTTTATGTACATTGTATTTTTATTGTAGAGATATTTATATAGTATAGATATATTTTATATGTTTTACATAATGTAGATATATTATTTGTAAAAGTGAAATAATTTTATTTTAAAATTTAGACATATGGGATTCTAGGGGAACTCGTTAAAAAAGTTAACATTACCCGAGGGTCTCTGAATGTGACCGACCTTCATTTCTTATTGCCCTTAACACTAGTTTCCCACCAGATCTATTCTAATAGCTAAGTTCAATTAATTCCCTTCCTATCATCTCATGAAATTCAGTAGACATAGAGATGATGAATCTGATGGTCAGGTACAGGGCCTCTCTCAGTCTCTGAATGTATGTCAAGCAGAGTGTCAACAGCGTCATTAACATTTTTGAACACCCACTATGTGCAAGATACTAGGTTAAGCCTGGCAGGAGGGGGCCGGTTGTGCAGAGGTTTAAGTCTCTACTTTCATTCATTTGCTTAGTTGACAAATATTTGTTGAGCACCCGTTATGGAAGGCACTAGGGTCTGAAGATTGACCTGCTTGCTGGTGAGCTAGAACACACGCTTAAATGAAGATTGGAAAAGGCACTAGGTTTAGGGTTTGGACATTTTGGTCTTCTGTTTATACAGAAAATTGATTGGGATGGAGATTATGAGTTTATTTCTTCGTATATATATACAGCTTGAGGATATTAAACTAGGGAATTCGGGGCTGGGGGGAGGCTCACACAAAAGATCAGGAAAAGGAAGTCCCTTGGAAAAAAAAGGAAAGTCAGACTAAAGCTGATGGCTTTGGAAATGGATTAAGGATTTTTTAAGAGTTCCCCATTTTATATTTAGAAGTAACATTTTGAATACTTCACCCCTTGGGGTAAATCTGGTGGTTAAGTAATCAGAGGAGGTGGGAAAAACAAATAGGAATAGCCACTAAAATAATGAGAAAGAATGAAGTGAGGAGAGAGACTTGTTCAGACACCCAATTCCTCCAAGGTTCAGGAAGGCCTGGGGTTTGCCTGCCCTCAGAAGGACACTAAGCGTTACCCGGGGGGTGTTTATGAAGAGTGATATCTGTGTACCAGACACGCAATGATGATTTAACCCCCCTTCCCAAGGAGATCATCAATGACTGCCCAAGGCTGCTGCTTCCAGACAAAAATCTATGACACAACAATAAAAGAATCTATGCAGCATTTTACCCTGAAGAATGGAAACTGCTTTCACCTTGGCTATATTTATCAACCTCTCCCCCACCCCTCAAGGGCAAGTAAGTGACCGTCGTCCACCACTCTCTGTAGAGACTAAGTCACTGAAACGGATGGGGAGCCCCAAGCAGGGTCCAAGAAGGCCAGGGCCAGGCACTATCCAGCTCATTCAAGGGCACACCGACTGGGTGCTACACACACTACTCCAGGCCGGACACCAAAGCTTCAGCTGATCAGGCCACGTCCCAAGCGCAAACAACGCGGGCAGCCGGGGCTCCCCGCTTCTGCTTCACTCCCGGCACGGCGGAAGCTCTGAACACACATCCAGGGTTATGTAACACCTATCTGTCACGGTCCATATGGCCAGGGGACTTTCAACATCATGCTGGCGTATAACAGTTCACGGTGGTACAGTCATCCCACGGAATCCTAGGTGAGAAGGCGCAGGTAGACAGCTCCAAATGGCTGCGCGCCCATGTCACCGCACTCTTCCTATCCCCGGGCGCGCAGATATATCCGTGAAGTCTCAAACCAGGCACGCAGTTCAGCGAAGCCCGTAGGGAGAACGCGTTCTCGGGCAGGATCGCAACTCCGCCTAGCTGGGTGGGA